CAAGCACTAAGAGCTGCTGCTCAGATAGCTCAGTGATTTGGAGATGGGGAGGAGGGTCAGGGAGAGGGTCTCTCTGAGCACTAGTGATGGTCATGGTAGTGACTGCAGGATTTAGGGACTCTTTACAGAAATCTAGTTGCTGTGTTTCTGGAAGGGAATAACTGAGAGCCATTATTTTGTTTGGACAGGTCTGAAGTGGGGAGGGAACTCAGTCAAGGTGAAGAACTACATCAGCTTCTCAAGCATCCTCTTCTCTCCCTTCCCCTCTTCCTCCCTTACTCCTTTCCAAGAGAGAATGAGAACAGTCCCTCCCTGGGTGATATGGGTCTGGGGGCAGGGGTGGGGTTTCTAGTAAGGCTACCTTCACACTGCCCAGGCAGGCAGCCTGGGTTCTAGCTGTAGGGGGTGCTCATGGAGTATCGCTCCAGGGAAGGGGTTGTCAGACTCCCAAGCAGCAGCCTTCACTAAGGCCTAGATCACTCAGAAAGGAGGACACGTGAACAGCCACAGAAAGCCAGCCCAGGAGACTGCAAAGTTCTCTTTGAGGCACCTCTTCCTGACATGACCCTTCCCTCTACGGGGCCTGGAAACATATGGGCAACAGGAGCCTGATCCTGCTGGGCTGGCTTAGAGCCTAGAGTTCCAGAGCAGCTCCAGTGTTTCTGTAGAGGAGGGACTTAAGAATTGCCATCTCACTGGAAGGGAGGTAAGGGGCCTTGATTTTAGTCTGTGGACTTATTTTGAGGTGACTTTGGGAGGATGCTGATAGAGATTGGGAAGGAGGCTAAAGTCTCCCCAACCCTACCCTGGCCACCGTGGCTCTGCCAACGCCTATCCCCAAAGCTCCAGGCCTGGGGTTCGTTTGTGCTGACACCTGAGGCCAACCCAGGGACAGTGCAGAGTCCCATGCTTGGGATGCAGACTGGAGAGGTGAAGTCTGGTTGGGGAGGAGCTGGCTGCAGCTGCTGTCCACCTTGTCCAGGAAGCCTAGAGGGAGACGTGAGGCTTTCAGGAGCCACTAAGTGAGGTGGGGCTGCGGAGGAGAGAGAGTTGGGGTCGGGGAGAGGAGGGATAGTTAGAACTCCGGGGAGAAGGCTGAGGGTGGAGTAATAGGCTCCTTCCTTTATTCCTTCAGCCCTATTCCTTTATGCACACTCCCCCACAGGACCAGCAGCCTGGAAATTCCCGAATCAGCCTTTTCTGCAGTCCAGGGTCTATGACAAGCAAGCTGCTGCTTTCTGAAGAGAGGCTCCATCCAGCCAGGAGCAGCGGGTGCTGCAGCACTGCAGACCCCCTGCTTCCGCTTCGGGAGTGAGGTCTAGGTCCTGGGACAGGGCACGCCTGGAGGGAGGATGGGGGGGATTCGCTGCGGGTATTGGGAATTTCCCAGTTCCCCAGACTCTGGGGATGAGAAGCCCTGGAAAGCCCCGAATGACTGCCCACCCTGCAACACACATGCACACGGGATTTTTGTGTGTGTGAGGTGGGGGGTGAGGAATGTCACTTCCTGGGTCAAACACCTTTATTCCTTCAGCAGGGCTAACACTGCTATGCCAAGAATGGTGCTGAGCTGGTCTCTATACATACATGATCCTGTTAATCCTTATGAAAAGTCTGTTTTATAATCAAAATCCCCATTCACAGGTAAGAAAGTTGAGGCTTAGAGAAGTTATGAAATTTGCCTGTAGTCACACAACATACAGAGGCAGCACGAGGATTTGAGGACGCAGGATTTGAGGTGTTTACTGAATGCCTACTCTGGGCCAGTAGGCTAGATGAGCAGGGGTACTTGCCCTCCTGGAGCTTACAGTATAGTTCTGGGTGGGGGGAGACTAGAACAAGGAAGGATGAGGGTGATGAGGGCTGCAGAGGAGATGCATGGGACACACAGGAGAGGTCAGGGCACGGGGACTGGCAGGATGGAGGAGGCTGGCATGGTGCAGTGGGGCATGGAGGACAGCATGTGCAAAGGCTCTGCAGCAGGAAGGAGCACAGCCCTTCTGGACCCTGGGAGTGGGCAGTGCCAGGTCAAGCTGGAGGGTTGGTAAGGGCCACATCTAGAGATACTGGTGCAGGAAGCCTGCAAGGAGAGGACAGGGGAGGATGGACAGTCAGGACCTAAGGAGCACCTGGGGAGGAGGGCGGAGCTCGAGATATGCACCCAGCCCACACAGGCTCCCAAGACCCAGCTCCATGCCCTAACCCACCTCAGGACCTTAGATGAGTCATCTACCCTTTGGGGGCTCCCTGGGCTTCAATGGAGTGAAGAATTATCCCTTCCTGGCCCTGCTGCCTCCCGGGAAAGTTGATAAGAATTCAAGTGAAATTAAGACTGTCAGGCTGTCGTCATCCCTATCAGGGGAAGAGTCCTCTGTGGCCTGAGGGGCTCTGAGTGAAGCACAGCTGTGTTTCTTCCGGGACTCACCGTGTTCCCATCCCTCCCTCATTTTAGCCCAGCCACTGCCTGTGCAAATGTCACCCAATCCTTCCACACTCCATCAGAATTCCACTTCTGCCCAAGGGGAGAGGGCACACTGGAGGCAGCGTAGACGTTAAACAGGGTATTTTCAGAAGGAGCAGACGTAACCTTACAGAAGTGCTTTATTTTCTGTAATTAGACTTTATTTTGCTGGAGGCAGCTTTGTGTAAGACTCAGGCGTCTCTTGGTCCATTTTCTCAGAAGGAACCATGGGGGTCATTTCATCCATCCCTTTTCATCTAAGCAGCACCATGTTCTAATCATGAAGGCAAGAGCTTTCCCTGTCACACAGGATGCTGCCCCAGACCCTTAGCATCAGGAAATCCCAAAGTCGAACCTGAATCCAGCCTGCTGAATGAAATTTCAGCCCCGTCCTCCCTCCTCCTAGCAAAAGAAGCGTTGGGGGAGATTGCAAAAAAGAAGCACTTCTCTCCCCAGGGAGAAACCCAAGAGGAGCAGCGGGTATTGCTCTTCAGCCCGAACACCCATCTCAGGTGACAGGTCCCCTCAGTGGGGGTGGCGTGGTGGGGGCAGGTTACAGGAGTGTAGCAGTGTCAGGGGAAGTCCTGGTGCCCTCCTGCTAAGCATCTGACCTTGAGTCCTTTACCCAGGTCCCCTTTTCCATCTGAAGAACAGTAAAGGGTCAGCAGACCTGACTAGAGGGTCTCAGGCATGGGTCCTCTCCCCCAGCCCACACGTGAACACACGCACACACCCTTCCCAACACCCAGGTATGCAGGCGCACACTCCCCCACAGGACCAGCAGCCTGGAAATTCCCGAATCAGCCTTTTCTGCAGTCCAGGGTCTAAGACAAGCGAGCTGCTGCTTTCTGAAGAGAGGCTCCATCCAGCCAGGAGCAGCCGGTGCTGCAGCACTGCAGACCCCCTGCTTCCGCTTCGGGAGTGAGGTCTAAGTCCTGGGACAGGGCACGCCTGGAGGAGGGAGGATGGGGGGGATTCGCTGCGGGTATTGGGAATTTCCCAGTTCCCCAGACTCTGGGGATGAGAAGCCCTGGAAAGCCCCGAATGACTGCCCACCCCGCAACACACATGCACACGGGATTTTTGTGTGTGTGAGGTGGGGGGTGAGGAATGTCACTTCCTGGGTCAAACACCAAACTCGAGTCCTGGCTGTGGGTGTGCAGAGCGAAAGCAAATAGAAAGCAGCTGCATTGAGGGTGAAGAAGAGGCTGAGGGAAGAGGGATGGGATGGGGTGGAGCTGGGAAGGTCAGGGGTGGTTAATGGCTGAGCAGCGGCAGAAATTTCCACCTGGGGAGCCCCAAGGTCTTATCAGATGGGGTTGGGGCTTGAGGGTGAGGACCAAGGGTGAGACTGAGGCACAGGTGCCCAAGCTGTCCGTCTTCCCTGCCCCTCCTGGTCCTCCTGGTCCTCCTGGTGCTCAAGGCAGGTGTCAGCCTCGCATTTCCCAAATGAGAGAAAGCAGAGCTGCAGAGGTAGGCGGTGCTGGCCATGGCAGAGCCCTTCTGCTGGACTCCTATCTGGGAGCAGGCAGAGGGTCCTGTGGAAGCTGACGCTCCCTCCTCTCCCCCCATCCCGTACTCCTCCATCCCCCGTTTCTCCCTCTCCAGGTGGCCTGTGAAGAGCCCATGCACGACCCCTGACCTCACCCTCCGGGACTAACTGAGGTTGGGGACCGTGGCCTGCCCGGAGCCCTCGGGGGAACTGCCCAGCTCCCCTTCCCCTGCAGCATCTTCCTTTTGTTCCATCTCTCTTCTCCTTCCCTTCTCTCCCTCCACTCAGGAAAACCTTCATCCGTATCTCCTAAAGCAAATCGTTTCCCTCCCACCCCCGCCCGCCACTTGCACGCTGTTCCCTACAGCCAGGGGGTCTCCTCCCCACCGCCCCAGCCGCCCCCTTCCCCAGCCAATCACCGCACCCGAGGGGCTGGCTGGTGGGTGGGGTGGTGAGTGTCGCAGGAGTGCACGGAGCTGGGCGGGGACTCCTCCGCTGAGTCGGGGAGCCTGTGAGGCCCTGGGGTGGGAAGCCGGCCCGCCCTCCCCAAACTTCTGTAGGACGCGCCAGTTTAAACCCCACTTCCCCCCAGCGCAGCCCCTCCTGCACACGCCGCCGCTTCCCGGGTCCCCGTTTCCCACCCGTTGGCTGTCTGGACGGGAGAAGGGGGAACGGGAGAAGGGAGGCGTGGGCGTGCGAGACGGTCTGTTGGTCGCGGGGATTGCCTGGGGCGGGGGCCCTGCTTCGAGGTTTGCGGGGATCGCCCTCGGAGGGGCCGCACGAGCTCTGTGCAGGCAGATGTGAGGAGCATCTCAATTGGCGGGCGGGGGAAGCAGGATCAGGTTGTTACTACTGCAGAGAGAGAGAGAGAGAGAGCCGAGAGCGAGCGAGTGCGGGAGCGGGCTGGAGGAGAGCCGCAGCGGCCGGGCCAGTGGGGAAGTGGGAAGCGGGACCTGGACTTCGGACCCCGGCTGTTCCCGCCCCGCCCCGCTCTCACCACCAGCTCTGGCAGAACCGTCCGGGAACATCCCAGGGTAAGAGGGAACCCCAGGAGGGGCGCCCCACGAGGGCAACCCGTAGTCCCAAGTGAAGCGGTACCTCCACCGACAGTTGCCACCCCTAGGGCGCGGGCGGTCCCGGGGTCGCCAAACAGGGACACTCGGACTTTTGGGGCTTGGCGCTCACCGCGGGGTGAACTAAGTGTAGAACTGTGCCCGCGGTGGGGACTGTAATCCGGAAATCCACGGGCGTCGGAATTACCAGGCTATTCTCAGGGGAGGTGACCTGAATTATCTCGGGATCCCCTCGCCCCGACCTGTTTCTCCCCGCAGAGATCCCGGGTCCGAGCGGAGAGAAGGCGAGAGAAGCCGCGGTGCCTCCGCATTGGGACTGGGGACCTGCTGGGAAGCGAAGGCGCTTGCTGCAGAGAAGCTGTGGGAAGGGCGGGGAGGTGCATGAAGTGGGCGTGCAGGGAGAAGTGGGTGCGGGGTGCGTGGGACCCCGCTGCGCCCGCTTCGTTGAGGAGCTGGAAGACTACGCGCGCGTGACGCTGGGGAGCCCCTGGCACAGAGTGGGGTGTGCTGGGGGCACCGGCGGTGTGCGGGGCTGGCTGCCTTTCTGTGCCCCCCCCCCTCCGCCTTGCCGCAGCCGTCCAGGGTTGGGATGTGCGGCTGCATTTTCCACCCCTTCCTCTCCCGGGAACTTTCACACACTTTAACACACTGCGGCTCTGTACATTGGAGAAAGCAGGCTCCTGGGGATCCTGGCAAGCTTGCAGATACCCAGGTGGGCGATGGGAGGAGGCAGCTGGGCAGTGGGAACCAGCGCCCAACTCAGTTTGCTGTGTAACCTTGGACAAGCCGCTGCACCTCTCTGAATCTCAGGGTGATGGAGGCACGTGGTGCCCAAAACTGGAATGGGGACAAGGTGGGGGAGGGTTCGCGGGGAACAAGCTCACGGGCAAGCCTGCCCCAGCCTGCCTGGGAATTGCCGCCTTTGGTCACTGGCCTCTCTTAAGTGAGTTCAGCGCTCACTTCCGGGGCAGGGGGTGGCTAGGTGGAGCTGTGAATCCAGTGCCCCAGGGAGAGTCAAAGCTTCCTTTCTGACCTGTCCCATGACCTTGGGCAACTCACTGACCTGCTCTGGGCCTCAGTATCTTCACGGGGTTTGGAATTCAAGGTATCTGAGGTTTCTCCCAGTCCCAACACCCTGCAGGTGCCACCCATTGAAAGGATGGAGGTGGGGTGCAGCTGGGTAGAATGACCTAGCCTCTGGGAAGATGGTAGCTCCCCTACGCACCCTAAGTGGTTCACTGGTCATCTCTCCCCACTGTCAGAATCCAGCTGATGGGGAAAAAGGCTTGCTTTTCAGCATTACACACCCTCTTTGCAGAGGGCAGATTCTTTCCTGGGGAACGGTTCTTGGTGACAGATAGATGACCATTGGTTAAAGGGTGATGTCACAGACCTCACAAGGTCATGCAGTCTGCTCTCTACCTCCAGACAGGGCTGTATCCACCTCAGATAAGGAAGATCTGAAGGAGTCCTCTCGTTTTAGGAAGATCTCCACTACAATGGCCTAGAGCACCCCATTGTGTGATGGGATAGTCCTTGCCACAGCAAAGTCTACTCTAACTCCTTTTTGGGATGAACTCTGCTTCTGTCTTCAGTTAAGATGAAACAATAGCTTCTTACTGACTGGGCATTAGGGTGTTGTGAATGAGTCCTGGTTTGAGACATGAGAGCTGAGTTTAATTTACAGGCTCTGCTTCCAATTTGTGCGACCTTATGTGACCTTGGGCAAGGCCCTTTCTTGCTTTCCTCCCCTGTGCATTGAGAAGGTAGAACTAGATAACTACTCAGGCCCTTGCAACCCCACAGTTCTGTGGCTGCAGTTCTGGGCTGGTGTCTGAGTAGCAGGAAGTGGGCTTGGCTGGATGACAGGAGCAGGTGGTCTCCAGAAATTCCCAAAGCATTGTCCTCCCACTTCTGTCACCAGAGTCGAGACAACTTGAGAGAAAATACTGTGGGTGAATTTCAAAGGCCAGCACACTGCTCAGGGAGTCCCCAGGAGACCCTGGCTCTCCTGTTATTAGCTGTGTGACCTTGAGCAAATTACATCTTTGAGCTTCAGTTACTCAGTAGTCAAAACAAAATGAGAAGAGTGGTGGTATTTTAGGGTTTTTATGGGGATTAAACAGGAAGCATATGTAAATACTTGGTCCAGTGCCAAGTTAAATCCTCGATGAGTGGTAGTTATTGTTAATAATAATACTTGCCGTGTAGCAAGCAGGTGGTAGGGCAGCTGTGAGCAGTGGCCACGGGGAGCACGGAAAGACTGTGGGCTTGCAGTGTGATCTTCCCCTACCACCTTCAAAGCTTCCCTACAGAATGGTAACATCAGCGCTCTCTCTGTGTCTCTCTCTGTAACGGTTAGGACCATTCTGCAGCAGAAACTTCATGAGAAACAGAGACTGCTGGACTTTCCCATAATCTCACACCTGTTTCCTTTGGTTCTTCCTTCCCCACTCTCTGCCGCACCTCTGCGATTATGACAAAAGGGGCCTTTTACTCCATTCCCCGAACCTTCTAGGAATGGACCAACTGAGAACCAGAGAGGGGTAAGGCCGGTTGTCCCTGGAGCAAGTGGCTGAAGGCATGCCTACAGCCTGGTGGAAGGAGTGGCAAAGGGACGGGCTCAACCTGGAGGGAACTCCCAGGACCCCAGGGCCAGGACTGAGGTTTACCCCAGACTTGCTATGTGACCTTAGGCAAGGCGTACTCCACTGTGGACCTCAGTTTTCTCGTATGTGAGGTGAAAGCTTGGTTTAGATGACCCCAAGTCCTTTTGGTTCTATTGATCCATGGCCTGCCTTTGCAGAGGCGGGGTGGAGTGGAGTGGAGAGGGGTGGGAGGTTTGTTGGAGTCATTCAGACTTTGGGTGTTCCCTGCCCCCTAATTCCAGTCCTGTAAGTCAGCTTGGGGAGACATGATGATCTCCCCTTCTCAGTAAGAGTGCTGATGGTTAAGAGCAAAGCCTTTGCAGATGTCTACAGCCAGGTGGAGGGAGTGGCAAAGGGATGGGCTCAACCTGGAGGGGGACTTCCAGGACCCCAGGGCCAGTACTGAGGTTTAGCCCAGACCCGCTATGTCTAGGTTCCCATCTTGGCTCGCTCCTTAATATCCATGTGGATTTAGGCAAATTATCCACCTCTGAGCCTCAATGATCTCATCTGTGAAATGGGAATATTACTTACCTGGAGTAGGAAGTCCCTACTGTGATATTAACCAGTGTACAAGGAATGGGTGTTTGAGGTTCTATGTTTTCACAGAGAGGGTTCAAGTTAGAGGAGGAGCAGGGATACAGGTCACAGTCCTGCAGTTGTCACCATGCACACGCTCCCCCCAAATGCCCCAGTGTCTCCTGTGGCCTCCTGCTATGCACTGGCCACAGGCTCCAGGAGTTTGCATGCTCTGGTCTCCGTCCTGGGGCCTGGAGAAAGGAAGAGCTCAGCCACAGAGGCCAAAGGCCGAGCAAGCTTAAGTCTGAGAGCAGTGTGCTAACAAAAGGCTCCCGATGATGAGGGACCACGAGCCAGCGGCGTGGCATCCCTCCATTCAAGGTTAGTCATGAGGAAAGGCTGTGAGATGCAGCCTTAGAGAAAAGGCTGACGGAGTGGGGCACTTCACCATCCACAGGGATGTGCAGATGAGTGGCATGGCAGGACCAGGCACTGAAAGGGGCTGTGGGATCATCTCATCCAATCCTCTGGTTTTGATCATGGGGAAACTGAGGCTTAGAGAGGGGGAGCTCCTTGCCCAGGACCACACAGCACATTGGCACCCACAGTGGAGCTTGCTGGCCCTTGTACCCTCAGTGCAATGCTCTTTCCTTCCTCCCTGTTAAGCAGAAGCAGTTATTTTCCATCTTTTCTAAAATCAGAGCACAAGGTAAAATGCCTTGACTGCAACAGAAAGGACGTGGGTCCAGATAGGAAGGAACTTCCTGATCTAGATACTGAGATCATGGCGTCCAATCTTCCCATTTTGTAGAACAGAACACGGAAGCCCAAGAAAATTAAAGAACTAGTTTAAGGTGACCTGGTCTCAGACATTTGAATTCCCGGGCCTGAGCTCTCTGTTAGGCCTTGAGCCACACTGCTGCTCTTGAGCCAGACAGGGCAGAGGATAGCCAAATGTGAAAAAAATAAACCCAGATGGGCTTGGGGAAGGGAGGGAGGACAGAAAGACAGAAGTATTACTTCCGAAACCACGCTTTTCTGTCTCCGCTTGTCTCAGTTGACCCCTGCTCAGAGCTATAGAGGCTGACAGCCTGCTTTGCCCTCTGAGAGGAGAGAGGAGGGAGACAATAGCCAGCCCCATCGGTCTCACTTCCATTGACAAGGCTGAGTGAAAGAAAGTCAATATTTGCACAGTGGCAAAGGACAAGGAATAAGTCTGACTTGGGATGGGGCGGCCTAGGGGCTTACAGGGTAAGGTGGTGGGGAGTGATTCTGAAAGGAAAGGCTGCAGTGTGTAGGGCCTGGGTGTGAGCACTTGACTTCTAAAGGAGCCTTTGGATTTTCCGCATTAAATAACCCTTTGTATTTCGGAGTTCATCCGGCCCCATTCGCAGGCACCATCCTCCCGGAAGCCCTGATCCCTAATAAATTTCCCTTATTGTTTGGAGCTGACACCTCCCCAGCTTTCAGCTCCCTGGAGAAATGGAACTTTTGAAGCTTTTGCAGAAAGGCCTTGGAGCAGATGGCCCATTGAGCAGGTCTCAGGCAGAAGCTGCAGCAGCTGCGAGAAATGCTCTCTTCCTTAACTGGGCCTAGGGAAAGATATGGAAAAGACCTTAGCAGGTCAGGAGAGGCTGTGAATATTTTTTTTCCTGCCTTTGTTTTGTTATCTTCATTCTTCTTCTCTGCATCCTGCTCCCCTTTTCTCCATGTCCCGATTTTGGGGAGGGCTGGGGGGGAGGAGGAGCAAAGCCCACAGCCTTTCCCCAACTGCAGTGGAATTCTTGAACCCTGTAGCAGCTGCCGGCCCCTTCAGTGGCTTTTGTGATTGCTGTGTTGCTCATAGAATCCCATCTTAGCAATTTAACAAAGGGTGCATTTGGGAGCAGAAGGGTTTCTGGTAGAAGGTAATGGGCTATACTGCAGCAGGAAGGGTTCGGGTAAGGTACAAGGAAGGACTTCCTACCAGGGGAATCACCCTCTGATGTCCACCATCATAGGTGGGCAGCCATGTGAGTTGATCTCCTGGACTCTCTTACTGTCTTGGGGATGAGCCAGGTTTGTTACCTGCTTCTGAAGGGACCACAGTGACATTCCTGGAGGTCAGTGCTACCACCCGAGACTAAACCTGGTCCCACAGCCACCAAATTGATGATCAGGGCTGGCAGTCTTTGGAGACCAGAAAGCCAGAGGGGCTTCCTAAGCCCATAGTTTGGCCCCGGGCTTGGGGAGGCTTGGCAGAGTGACTGACGGAGGGCAGAGGGTGAAAGGGGGAAGGAGAGCCCCCGGCCTGGCCTCAGCCCAGCCAGCCCTGCAGCCAGGAGAGATACTGCAGCACCGATGAGCAGCCGGCAGGAGAGTCTCTCAAAGCTGCTGCTCACAGTGGGGCAGGCCTCGCCTGCCAGCTCCAAGCCTGTCTTCAACCTGCTCCCCACTGCTCGGCTGGGCCGAGACTTGAGGGCAGCCGGCTGCTCAGAGACAGATTGCAGCCTGTCCCCTGTCCCCGACCCCAGCACATGGCACCTGGGAGAGAGCACAGCCCAGCTCCCAGACTTACGTGGTCTTGCTGCATTCGTACTTTGTCCTGAGCTGACTTGTGGGACCCTAGTCCATGGTTTTTGGTTTTGGTTTTCTGTTTTTTTGGGGGGACAGGGTCTCACTCTGTCACCCAGGCTGGAGTGCAATGGTGTGATCACAGCTCACTGCAGCCTCAGCTTCCCCAGGCTCAGGTGATCCTCCCACCTCAGCATCCTGCAAAGCCAGGACTACAGGTGTGCACCAACCACCACGCCCGGAAAACTTTTGTTTTGGGATGTTTTTCTTTTTTTTTTTTGGCAGAGATGGGGTTTCACCACGTTGCCCAGGCTGGGCTCAAACCCCTGGGCTCAAGCGATCCTCTTACCTCAGCCTCCAAAAAGTGCTGGGATTATAGGTGTGAACCACCATGCCCGGGCCCTAGTTCATGTTTTAGTGAGACTTGGGCTATGCGGAACCTGGTACTCGTATGCTTGGCACTGATGTGCCGTGGTTAAACCTCAGATGCTGGGGCTGGGTATTCAAATCCCAGCTCCTCTAGTTTTTTATCTGGAACTTTGGCTAAGTTATTCAAACACTTGTTACCTCAGTTTCCTCATCTGTAAAATGGAAACGAAATAGCTTGCCATTGGGTTGGCATGAGGATTTGAGGTATGACTGTTTACATATAGTTCTAAGAATAGGCAGTAGCTGACACATGGTGCTATAAAGATTTCACTATAAAGTGCTATAAAGAGTGTTGTTATGGTGTTTCTGAAAACTGAACAGGGACATTTTGTAGATAAACGTAGCAGCAGAACTGGGAGTGGGCAAGTCAAGGATATGCCTGGCTTTGATGAGAAGGATCTAAAATCCGGTGAACGCACTATTAAGTTAATGCACATGGCCCCATGCAAATGATTTCTCTCTATCTCTTGGACCTCAGTCGTCCCCATTAGAAAATGTGGAGAGGGATGCCTGTCTTCCTCATTTCCCCCATGATGTCCCGGGATCAAATAAGGTGGCTGATGTTCTGAAAAAGCCAGTGAGCCTAGCGGATGCGCAGGCTGGCCTCTTCCTGTCCCTTCTCTGGAGCACATGCTGGCTTCCTGGCAGAGTACCCGGCGTGTTTGCTCTCCCAGTGAGGCCACTGGACTCTGGGTGGCTCCAGGCTGAATCCAGCCCTTCTCATTTTCTGTTCTTATTTCCCCTGGAAAAAGGATGGTGGTTTTGTATCTCTGAATGCTCCTTAGGAAGGGAGAAGGAGTGTTTCTGAATGCTGTCTTTAGTTATACAAGCAGAGAAGGGGCAGGAGAACCTCTCCTTTGAGCTGGGACACCCTGGCCATGATCTCCAGACAGACTAAGGTGATGCCTTCTCTGGGGTGTCAGAAGTGGGAGCTCCTTCCCCCACCACCCGCAGCCAGACTATTCACGGTGCAGGGAGGCAGGAACGGGGGCTGAACAGAAGCAGGACATTGAGTCAGTGTCCCATTCAGTATCTTTCCTGCCAGGTAAGACAAGGACCCTGGTTGTTAGTGCCCTTGTGGCCTCCTCCTCCCTGGGTGGGAGGCAGAGCCAACCTGACCTGCTCACAGTATTCTACTGATGGCTAGATTAGGGCCTCATGGATTGGCCCCAATATCCTCTCCCAAGAACCACAGAGGTGACCAGGCTGTGTATTCCCAAGCCAGCAACCAAATGACACCCTTTGCCCTATAGACTTCCCGCCTGGTCATCTGGGGTGAGTTGTAAGTATGGAGAGGGAAGGCCACTTGATTTTAGAGATACTCAGGGCCTTAGAAATGCGTGCTTCTGGAGCTGTCCTCAGAGCCTCTTCCTGAATATCATTTTACCAAGATCCCCAAAGACGAGGTTTCTTGGCTAAGGTCATCCCCAAAATCAACCATGAGCTCATGGCTTAAAGTCCCCTATATTTCCTCTGCCCCTTCCCCCAGGCTTCCCTAAAGAAGGCATCCAGCATTGGCTAGAAATGTAGGCGTCCCATCAGGTGCCTGCCTCCTGTGACCCCGCTCCTAACCTCAGATCCCCCCGAACATCATCCATTCTAAGCTGGATGGGTTTGGATTTGACACAGGAAGAACTTCCTGAGTGACTTCACTGGGACAGGGAACGGAGGCTTTCCCCAAGATACATAAGGAAAGACCTGGTCTCCATGGAGCAAGTCTTAGGAGCTTCAGGAATTCGACAAAACAAAGTCCAAAATCAGGTCCACAACCCACTCACCGTGGGACTTTGGGCAAGCCGCTGACTCTCTCTCAGCCTTATCATTAACTTGGAATGGATGTGACTTACTGTCTTACTTACGGAAGTTTATAAATATATATTTACTTTTTAAAAACAGCTGTATTGAGATATAATTCATACTACACAGTTCACCCATTTAAGTGCACGCCTCCACCCCACAAAGGAACTCCATACATACTAACAGTCACCCTCGATTCTTCCATTCCTCCACCCCACAAAGGAACTCCATACATACTAACAGTCACCCTCGATTCTTCCATTCCTCCACCCCACAAAGGAACTCCATACATACTAACAGTCACCCTCGATTCTTCCATTCCTCCCAGGCTTAACCAACGAATAATCTACTTTCTGACTCTATGAAATTGGACCTTCTGGATATTTTATTTAGATGGAATTATACAATACCTAGTCTTCTGTGACTTCCTTCACTCACCTAATGCTTTCAAGGTTTAGCCATGTTGAAGCGTGTGCCGGTACGTTGTTTCTTTTTATTACCAAATAACATTCCATTGTGTGGATATACTGCACTTTGTTTCTGCATTCATCAGCTGATGGATATTTGGCTGATTCATTCCACCTGTCAGCTACTCTGAATAATGCTGCTCTAAACACTTGTGTAAGGGTTTTCATGAGGATGTGTATTTTCATTTCTCTTGGGTGTATGCCTAGGGTTGGAAGGATTGTCAAATGGTATACTTATTTCTAAATGGTATATTTATATTATTGGGCTCTGTTCTAAGTATTTTATGTGGATAATCTCCTTTAATTATCACAATACGAAGTAGGTACCATTATGGATCCCTGTCTGGGAAAGTGAAGAAATGGAGGCATCATTTGAGGGACATCAAGGGACTTGTCCAAGGATACTCAGCTAAGAGAGCCAGGATTTGGACGCTGGCATCTGACCCTTTGCTCTTCCGCCACCTTCCTCCCACATGTGAAGTTGAAGTGGGAGAATGTCTGAAAGTGCTCCCAGCCTGAGTGTAGTAGGTGCTCAAGAAATGTCTGATGGATGCTGGAAAAGGGCCAGACACCCTGCATTTCGCTGTCTGACTCACCATGTGGCTTTAGGGAATTTGTGTCCCTTTGAGCCTCAGTTAAATTTCCCCAATACATAAAGCGTCAACATGGCATTTCATAACAGACAGAGCTAGATGGGAGGTATAGTATCATGCAAAGAGCCCTGGATTCTAGCTCTGGCTCTCACTGGCTTGAAAGAAATAATTTTCTTTCTCTGTCTCTTGGTTTCCCTGCCATTCAATTAGAGGCTGGAACAATTGACCCCAGGTTTCCTATCAGCTCACCCTTCCTGTGTGAGTTCTGTTTAAGTTTCCTTCCAGCTCACCCTTCCTGTGTGAGTTCTGTGTAAGCTTCCTTCCAGCTCACCCTTCCTGTATAAGTACTGTGTTCTTCCTCAGCAACTGGAGCCCCCAGGGACCTAAGCTGGAATGGGTGCCCAGGGCTTCAGGTCACTGCTGTGCTCAGTGACACTTCTCCCACCTAGTGTGTTAGAAGGCCAGGTAGGGGGCTGAGTGAGATGAAGATGGGGAGAGGGGAGAACCCCGCTAAGCCTCCCTCCCTTGGTGTGGGCTGGGGACCTTCCGTTCTCTAAGCCAGAAAACAGCCACCTCACCTATACATCCTCACTCTTCCCTGGCTCCCCTTATCTTGAGTCCTGCTTCTCTGGAGTCCTGCTCCCTCTGGAGTCACTGCAGCCCTCATTCCAATGAACTATCCAGCCGCCTTCAGAGGCTTGGCCTAGCTCCTGGTTTGGGATCACTTATGGGAAAGTGCTGAGCAGCCACTGGGTGCCCAGCGTGTGTCAGTTGACTTACATAGGGGTCAGTATTTGAGCGAGTGGCTTCCCCTAGGTCAATTTTGGCTTCCCCTAGGTCAATTGAATGATTCCCCAGTTCAATTTTCCCCATCCTTTTTTAGCAAGAGCATTCATTGCGTTCTGCAAACCCAACCTGGCAGCACCAAGTGAGGTGCATCTGCATCTTCCACCTGCACAGCCACATCCCGAAGACTTTTCCTGGGCCCTCCCTCTAGTCCATCTTCCTTACTTCCTGGATGCCACCAGTCAGAGCTCCTCCTGCATCTCAGGTCCCGTGCCAAGTGAGTAACATATAGGAGAGTGCATTTACCCCTCTGTGGTGGGAATTTGTTGTGTTTCTATGGAAGAGGAAGCATGTCCAGGACAGGGAAATAATTTCTCCAAGGTCACCAAGCCAGTAGGTAACAGTGGAAGGATTTGAGCAAAGGCAGTCTGGTCCCAAAGCCTGGGTCACTTGACTGAAAGGAAAGATGGCATCAAGGGCTTTTAAGGGGGGCCCAGACCCAGGGAAATTGGGTGGAGCGTCTCTGGGCAGGTGGACTCTGGACTCCTCCAGGGCAGGGCCATGTCTCTGTCTTATCTCTTACACTGTGTGGAGAACAGCTGAGCCTGGGAACGCCCTCTTCTGGACTTAGTCTTCGCACCCACAGAACAGGGTCTGACATTTCCAGCAGGCCTGTGCTCCAAGCTTTCCTGGAGATCTGGTGATGGCCCAGTAGCCTGCCTTCCACTGGTTATAGAGTCAGTTTCTCTTGGGTTTGCTCTTGCCTCTAGTGTGATGAGCTGGAGTCGCATTCCCAGCTCCACTCCCCCAGTGCCTGCATGTCTCACTATTTTTAAGCTTCGTGGGTTTAATGAGCTGCCTGCTATGACACGTCTTCAACATTCACCTTTTCCTCCAACGAACCTCAGAGAGCTAGGTTGGGCTGCTTTTACCCTTGACAGTGCCCCACCCCAGTCAGGAGGCCGGAGCTAGGCTGTTTCCCTGCTGGGCCCAGACTGGGCTTCCTGAGACCCCCACTGCGGTGTGCCCCACAAATTACCTAGCGGTGACAACACTGCAAATTCCAGGCCCTCGGGAGCTGGCCCCTTCTCTGGTGCTGCCTTCTGTCTTGTTTCTCCCCTCCTACCCCACCTCAGCCCCTTCCTGCAGAGTGGTGATGTCATAAAGGGAACTCCTGTGCTCTCCACTAATTTAATTGGCAACTACTTCTCCTTGAGGACAAACTGCCTGGCAAACCAGCAGGGCCTGGTGAATGAGGCCAGTCGGCAGCAAGGGCTGGGATGGAGATGTCAGATTTAGACACTCTCTGGGTTGGAAGAAGGACCTCAGATTTTATCTAGGCCAAGGCTGTGTCCCCTTATCTGAGTCCTGTCTGTAACATCCCTCCCAATAGTGGGCTAATCTCAGATTGAATGCTCCCAACGATGGAGCACTCATTACCTCCTGGGACCACCACCCCATCAATGGGGTGGTGCTGACTGTGCAAAAATCCTCCTTCATTTTGAGCCTAAATCTATTTTCCTACATGAAGAGAGGAGACCGGCTGGTCTTGGGTTGGAGGCCAGTGGGTTCATTCATTTTCTGCCTCTAGCCCTCACTGCTGCAAAGGAGGAACCACAATTCCCTCTTCATGAGGAAGCATGCATGTGTCATGGGCAGGGCAGAGGCACCGCTGACCCACAAAGATGTGATGTGATTCCTTCCTCTCAGGGGACTTTGTTGGGGTGAGGTGCCACTGCAAAGAGCTGAGAAGCTGCTAGAAAAAAGTGTGAAGCGAACCTGCAGCAGAAAATCAAACACTGATGCAGGCTAGCTCTGTCTATGGGGACGGTTATATGCTGGCTCTCTGTTGCCAGCTCCAGGGAGTCAGGGTCTGATAGGAGCCATCCTAGGAATTCCACTTCTAACCAGGGATCATCTGCAGGGTGACTGAAACTCCCTGCGGTTCCACAGAGCCACAGATGCTCACCCATGCCGGCTTTGGTAGGCAGGCAGCTCATTAAGCTCAGGATCTTGCTAGCTTGGAAGAGCACTGGATTGGGAGGCAGGTTCCTTACCCTATCACTTTGGACAAGTCCCTTCCTCTCTCTGGCTGTCAGTGTTCTCAGCTGTGGTCTGTGCTGTGCGTGGACCTTCAGAAATGATGCGGGGCTGGGCGCTGCAGCTGCCGAATGCTGTGTGTGTGTGTGTGGCTGGAGGTGCTTCATCCTGGGCCGTGCTCTGCAGGGCACAGTGTTTGTCACCAGTGGTCATATGAAGGGGACAGTCCTCTGCCAACCTCCATTCCCCCCTCTCCACTGGCCCAGAGCAGGGAGGCCAGAGCCCTGTGTATTTCACTGCTAAGCAGGGCCAGGGCCCATTCACAAATGTTTGCTGGGGCCTGGGGGTGTGGAGCAATGCCTCCACTCTGGCGAGGGAAAGCCCAGGGGCCTTGGTGTCCTGGCCCAGGGAGGCTCTCCTGTCCTGGGTCAGGCTCTGTGGAGAGGGTCCCACATGATGGCATCTCTGGAGCCAGGGGCATGTTTGGCCGTGTCATCACCTTCCCAAGTCAGCTGTCATCTCTGCACTTTCCAGGGTGGTGGCTGTGAGGGGCCCATTGTGGTTTGTGGTTGTCAGACACCCACCCAGGCGGATGTCTCTTCCTGGAACTGGCCACCGTCTTCCAAGCAAACTGCATCTCCTAAACCTTGGCTCCGTGCTGCTCTTCCAGGAAGCCTTTCCTCAGTGGCACCCTGGTTCTTGGTGCCTTTGCCTGTGGCTCTCAGCAGATGCACCTGCGATCGTGGGAAGGCTGGTGGGTGATGCGATACACTTTGCTGTATTAGGGTGTCCGTTTCCTCTCCCCGGGGTGTCTTCTAGCACCCCATCAAGCCAGAGTATGTGGGAGCCAGGCCTGCAGCACTGCCCTGGGTCAGCTCACAGCGCTTTCTGCTCTTCACATTCAGTTTTCTTTTTGATTGAGTTATGGTTTAGATGCAGTGAAGTGCAGGACTTAGGGGCATATGCACCTCATAGTCACCAGAGGAATTTCTCAGAAAGATCCCTGTTCCCTCCGAGCCCCTGCCTGCCCCTCACGTGTGGCTGCTCTATTGCCGTGGGGTCATTTTCTGTTCTTCAGAGCTTTCCTCCCATCCCTGGTCGTGCCTCAGTTTCCCTGCCTTTCCTCTTTCTCTACAAATCCTCCAAATACTGATACTACTAGAAGCCCATCTCTGGCTTTCTTCTTATGCCCACACTCTCCCCGGGGAATTATTCTTTTGTGCTAGTGACTTCTGGAGACACTTCTGAGCAACACACACCTGCCCGTCCAGCTGCCTGCTGGGGATGGCCCTCACCTAGTGTCAAACTCCTGGGCCCCAGTGATTCTCCCACCTCAGCCTCCTGAGTACCTGGAACTACAGGCACACGCCACCATGCCTGGCTAATTTTCAAATTTTTTGTAAAGACAGGGTTTCACTGTGCTGCGCAGGCTGGCCTCGACCTCCCAAAGTGTCCGGATTACAGGCATGAGCTGCCATGCTAGGGGTGGATTTCGACTGGGACATCCTTGGGGAGTCTGGGCAACCTTTCCCCTTCACATCTCAGTGTTGTCATCTCTAGAGTGGGAGTGGCAGTGACAGGAAGAACAGCTAGACTCTGCTGACTTTTGAGAGGAAGATGCGATCAGATATCCACAGATGAGAACTTGAAAACTTGAGTAACCAAAGTGGAGACTCAGCAGCCAGTTGGAGAGGCCATGGCTGCTGAGAGAGGCCTGAGTATCGGGGAAGGCGGACTGGGGGTGGGGGAAAGGCTTGGTAGTATCTGGGCACAGGGGCAGGAAAGCAGCCAGGGCTAGTGCATGGCTCAGAGGAGAGGACTTGGCCCAGAGTTGGGCCTCAAGAAGGCTGTCTGGGTTGGAGCTAAAGGCATGGGTAGAAGGAGGACCATTTATTAAGGGAGGCTTGAATCATCCCAGGAAGTAAAACAAAGGGTGTTGGCTTAACCTGGTCCTTCACAGGGGTTAGCAGAGATGCTGCCCCACCTCTCCGCTGGAGCCATCCCCACGTGCTCCTCACAGGCCTACGCCAGCCTCGCTCAGGAGCCAGCCATGGGCATAACACCATGCTTTACATGTGGTGCTCCTGAGCCTTACAGCCCTGAGTGGCAGCTTCCAGTATCACTCCCATTTTGCAGATGGAGTGCTGAGACCCAGAGAGGTTAAGCAACCTGCCCAGGTTCCCTTGGCTAAAAGTGGCAGAGCTGAGACTCCAATCCAGGTTGGCCTGCCCAGAGCCCAGGTGCTAATTCACCCCACTTGGCTGCACCTGTGTCTCACTTGGCTCCTCTTCCTCAGCAGAGCTATCTTTTAGCTTTGGATCCACGTAGAACTCCAAATTAAGACTTTCCAATTTGGAATTCACCCCCCATGGCTCCCCTCCTCCAGCCCACGGGTGTTTTGAGGCCAGGGTTCATCCCTCTTGGCCCCTGTCTTCCATGTCCACCTGGCCCGGGGTCAGGCAGGAGAGTGGGCTACTTCTGAGAACCTAATTGTGCCCCCGGGACTTGCATGCTCTACTGTAGTTTCTGGAGACCACAAGCTGTCAGAGGTGTTGGTGATAATGGGCATCTCTGTCTGAAGAGTGATGGACACAGCTCCGTCCCTGGGGCCTGGCCAGCATCTGGAAGGACGGAGGTGCTCTTGGAAATGGGAGGAACAGACTGCACCATCCTAGGCTGGCTCCCTGCCTGGGGTGCCAGCTCCCAGCTCCTACCGAAAGCAGGCTGGGCTCCCCAGACGTCTCCTGACCTCTCCCAGGTTCTAGCATGGCCCACAGTGAGCTACTCTGTTGCCTGGGAGTACAGCCCATCCTTGGGGTAAAGGTGCTGTAAGCAAGCGACCTGTTTCATTCCTCACTCAGGCTGTTTCCTCAACTACAAAATGGGCATCACAGTCCCCATCTCACAGGACTGTGATGAAATGGAATGCAGCACTGGCATGGAGTGGGCATGGTGGCGGTCTCCCTCCCTGCCCCTGGCACCCGCCTCTGGGCCCACTGTCTTCGTGATCTTCCCGTTAGACCCGCCTTCCCAGTGTGCTTGAGGAGCTCGAGGGGGCTGTTTGTTGGGAAGGAAAGAGCCCTGGGCTGGGTGCTAGGAAGTTTGTGTTCAAGTGCACTCTGAGGTCTCGGGCAAGTTGACCTCTGAGCCTGAGTTGTCTGCTCCGTCAAGGGGCAGAACCACATCTGCTGCACCTCCCCGAAGGCCTGAGCTCTGTTCTCTCGTGGTGAGCTGCGTCAGGATGGGGCTGGATTTTCCTCGTCTTGTATTCCCAGCACTTAGCATGGAGCAGGATTTGGAAGAAACAAAGTGAGGATCAGATGAAAGAGTGGATTTTTAAGCAATTAAAAATGCTAGTGGGTATTTTCAAGGTTGGGTGAGGCAGACAACTCCTGGTCGGCCCCTCAGTAACCAGGGAATTGGTCTTCCTGCTCTTCCTTTGCACATTAGTCTCCGGAGAACCTGAGCTGCTTGGGACCCCCTTTCTCTGCAGGGAGCCATGGGCCTGCCTGCCTACAGGCTGCCCTCGCATCTCCCCCGGTGGAGCCCCGCAAGGCAGTGTGCCTGCTCGTCTGCACCCCACCCGTGACCACTCAGGCCCTGGGTGTCAGGGTGTGACCTAGACAAGGTGCCTCTTCTGGCTTTGGGGTTTCCCATCTCTCCTTTGGCAGGGAGCTTGATGGGACGGAGGTTGCCAGAGTTGGAGGGCAGTGCCTGGTGAGATCCCCCGCCGCCTCTGTTACCTGCTGCCAGGCTCAGCAATCAGGCTCCTCCTCCGGGACCTGGCAGGGAAGGCAGTGGTAAACAAGACACGTTCCCACCTCGCAGCCCTAGTCCTCTGGGAGCTGAGCTGCTTATGCAAGCACCTTTGACACCACACAGAAGTGATGCAGTTTCTGCCAGATGAACACACACAGCCAGGGAGAATTCTGGGGCTCAGGCTCCCCAGCTGCACAGCCTCTGCAGCAACCCTTGCCCTCTGGGACACAGCCTGGGCTGGCTCAATCCCTAACTTGACGAGCGCTGCAGCAGTCATTGTGGGGAACACGATGTGTGTCCTTGAGTCCACGGTCAGCGTGGACTTGGCCTAGCCCTGCTGAAAGGAGAGCTGGGGAAAGGAAATGAGTATTTATTTAGGGTCTACTTTGTGCCAGCACACGTGGCCTGTTCAATCCTTATAACCATCCCTGTGAGACAGGCACCTGACCCTCGGTTTGTAGCTACGAAATGATCCCAGAGAAATTAACTCATCTCCCAGGCTGCAGAGCTGCTAAGCATCAGGTTGGAAAGCAGCCACGACCCCTCCCCACTTTGCGCCACCCACCTTCAAATGTAGGACTCTCCAAGCATCTCGGAGGGCCGGGTCTTAAAAGCTGAGAGGCTATCTAGGCCGCGTGCGGTGGCTCAGGCTTGTAATCTCAGCAGGTGAATTGCTTGAGCCCAGGAGTTGGAGACCAGCCTGGGAAACATAGTGAGACCCCTTCTCTACAAAAAGTAGCTGGGCATGGTGGTGCACCTGTAGTCCCAGCTACTTGTCAGGGTTGAGGCAGGAGGATCATTTGAACCTGGGAGGTCCAGGCTGCAGTGAGCTGTGATTGCGCCACTGACTCTAGCTTGGGCAACAGAGTGAGACCCTGTCTCAAAAAAATAAAAATGAAAGCTGAGGGGCTCTCTTGGGAGATGCAAAGCCACTTTCCAAACCTTGGAAAGAAGGGGAGATAAACCAGGTCTCCTGATACCTCGTTCAGGTCCCAGACCTCAGGCCACCTTTGGAGACAGAGGGTCTGGCAACAGATGTCGCTGCAGAGGGAGTAGGGGGCTGGTGACCCTGTGGTCTCTTCCAACCCCAAGGCTGTAAGGTGACACGCACCCTAGTCCACTCCCTCTCATTACCCAAGTGCATTGCCTGTAGCTATCACCCTGGCTTCCTGGACAAGGGGTGTGGCTGAGACCCCCAGCTCTCCCTTCCCTGGGGCTTCTTACATTCCCACATATGGCAATGTAATGCACCTGCACGCACACATTTGCATACATGTTCACGGCCAGTTCATGTATGTTTATACATTAATACATGGTGTTCATACACATGGTGTTCACACGCGCGCACACACACAGCCTTTCTGGCATTCTCTGCCGTGTCTCATGGCTGCTGTCACCCATCTCAGCTGGGCCTGAGAGATAGAGACAGGCCTCCTCGTCTGGTGCTGCCGGCTAGCAGACGCCACGATGCTGATGTTCTGCTCCATTACGGGGCTAATGGAGCCTCCCTCTGCTTCCAGCCTCCCACCAGTTGCCCACCTCCTCCTTTCCAGGGTGTGAATATTGACTGGGGCCCTGAGAGGCAGTGAGCCTGGCTGGGGTGCCCAGTTGTGTGTGGAGGGTGTGGGCGTGGGCCTGGGGTGCACGTGGGGCTGGAGGTAGGCGGCAGGCTCCTGGATCGACAGCAGGGGGCACCAATAGGTCTCCTCGTCCAGTCGCAGGGAGGAAGAAGGGCTGGGGAGGAGGCTGCGGTGGCTCCAGCTTCTCTCCCTCAGCTTGAGCCTGGTGGGGCACCGGCCAGCCAGCCCCCGCTCTTGCCCCGCCCACTGACAACACCCCCTCCCCTTACACTCCCTGCCCATGCTACCCACACACCCTACTGCCAAACACATATGCCATACTACACACCACACACACACGCCATACTACACACCAGACACCCTACTACACACACACACGCCATACTACACACCCCACACACCACACACACACCACGCACACCCTACTACACACCAAACACGTCATACCACACACCACACACCGTACTACACACCACACACATGCCATACTACACACCACACACACCCTACTACACCCCCACACATACCCTACTACACACTACACACATGCCATACTACATACCACATACACTCTACTACACACACATGCCATACTACTACACACCACATACACCTCCCACACACACACCACACAGACACACACCAGGCACACCCTACTACATACCACACACACATGCCATACTACACACCACAGACACCCTACTACACACCACACACACCCCACACACACACCACGCACACACTACTACACACCACACATGCCCTACTACACCCCACACATGCCATATGACACACCACACACACGCCACACACGCACCCTACTACACACCACAGAGGCATGCCATACTACAAACCACACACATGCCATACTGCACACCACACACACTCCCCACATACACACACCATGCACACCCTACTACACATCACACACACACACACACACCCTGCTACACAGCACACAGACCATACACACCCCACACAGACACACACACCACACACATTACACAGACACCATATACCACACAGATACCCCCTACTATGCACCACACACACACTACTACATGCCACACACCCTACTACACACCACACAGGCCACACAGACACACCACAGACACACACCACACACAAATGCCCTACTACACGCCACAGACACCACACACACCACACACACACTCTACTACATGCCACACACCACACACACCACACTCTATAGACACCGTACTACATGCCACACATACGATACATACCATACCCACCCTACTACACACCACACACACACTACTACATGCCACACCACACATACCCTACTGTGATGCCACACATACCACACAACCACCACACCACCCTACTACACACCACACACACCCTACTACATACCATACCCACCCTACTACATACCATACCCACACACCAGACACCATACACACCCTACTACACACCACACAAACCACACACACACCCTACTACACACCATACAGACACCATACACACCCTTACTACACACCACACACACCCTACTACATACCATACCCACACACCAGACACCATACACACCCTACTACACACCACACATACCACACACACACCCTACTACACACCATACAGACACCATACACACCCTTACTACACACCACACACACCCTTCTGTACACCACACATCCCACACACACACCACACCACACACACTCTACCTCACACCACACACATTGTACACAGCACATACCCTACTACACACCACACACACAGCACACGCTTCTACATACCACACACACCACACAAAAACACATACACACATACACACACCACACAGACACCAGACACACCACACATCACAAACATCATATACACCCTACTGCACACCCCACACCCCACAGACACACCCTACTACATATCACACACACCACACAGACACATACCACACACATCTTACTACACACAACACCTATCACACCACACACCATACACACATCCTACTATACGCCACACACCATACACACACACCACACATAGCACATACGCACTGCTATACACCACACACCACACAAACATACTCCACACACACTACACCAAACACACCACACAGACACACATAACACTCATCACACACACCAAACACACCCAACTACACACCACACACACCCTACTACAGACCACACACATACCACACACACACACACCCTACTACACATCACACACCATATGCACACACCCCACACAGCGCACACACACTGCTACACACCACACAGACCATGCACATACCCTACTATACACCACACTACAGACACATACCACACTCATCACACACACACCATACATACCCAACTACACAACACATGCAACACAGACCCTACTACACACCACACACACTATTACACACCCCACACAGCACACACCCTACTACACACCACACACACCCTACAACACACCACATACACCACACACCCTACTACACACCACAAACACACTACTGCACACCACACACACTACTACACACCACATACACCACATACCCTACTACACACCACAAACACACTCTACTGCACACCACACACTACTACACACCACACAGACACACCACACGTCACACACACCCTACTACACACCACACAGACACACATCACCCATACCCCAACTACACACCACACACATACCCTACTACACACCACACACCTCACATGCACCACCCCCCCAACTACACACTACACAGAAACATCACACATACCACACACACCCAACTACACATCACATACCACATACACACCCTACTACACACTACTAAACACCACACACACCACAGACACACATACATACTACACACTACATACACCACACGACACACACGACACACACCCTACTACACACCACATACCTACCTCACTACACACCACACACCACAACACATACCCATATTAGACACATCACAGACTCACTGACACATCACACACAAACTCACTATACCCCATACTACACGTATATACACACCACACACATGCCACTACCCACCACTACCCACATACCCCCCAACACCCACTATACCCTCCACCCCACCTCACCCCCACACATCATACACACCTCACTCACACCATATACACATACCCCACTGTCCCCACACCCTAGCGCCTACATTACACACTCACTACACATACAGCGCACACATCCTACGTGCACACCACACCATATACACCCCTGCCCACCACACACTTGCACATATCACATAGGCACACTCATACCACACACACACACCACCACACTCATGCACTCCTATTAAAAGGCTTTTGCTTTCGTGCCAAACCTCTAACCCTGTCCCTTAGAGGGATGGTGCTCGGCCGAGCTAGTGTGTTCAAACCTTGTAACATTTAGTCAGAAAATGCATCAATTTTTAATGGTTTGTAGCTGAAAATGAAGATGTGCATCTGGCGTGAAGGATAGCAGGACTGTGCTGGAAGGTGCTGTGTGTCTTGTGAGGCAGAGCTGCTCACGATGTGGCCAAGGATCCATCAATTGTGTGGGTTAATCACTGCTAAGCCACGGGAGCTCCTCTTCCCCCAGGTGAGCCCTCCCTTACCTGGTAGTTGCCCACATGCTCTGCAGAAAGCAGCACCTCTCTTGGGAGCGTGACCAGCGCAGACCCCCATGGTCCCACCTGTTCTCCTTCACACTCATAGTATGGGCACACCAGACCTCCTGGGGCCCACGGTGCAACCCCCCTCCTCCCACACACACTTTCCATATCCTAAACCAAGCAGCCCAGGGCCCGCTGGTTCTCAAGCCTCCATCTGTCCCCACTCTATCACCCATTTGGGGTCCCCTACCCTTCCCCGCCTTCTCCCAAGCATCTTGACACCCAACCATTGAAAGACCCTTTCCTCTGCCCTAGAACAGCTGCCTGTGGGTTTGGGAGATGTTGTGGGGTGCTGGAGAGTGGGGAGCCCGGGAGGTCCAGGATTCTGAGTGTTTGGAGAAGGAGGTGGGAAGGCAGCCCATTTGGGGGCCAGAGGCAGCCCCCTGGGCTGGGAGCAGCTGGGGACCCCAGCGGGCGGCTCAGGGCTTGCTAGGTAGCTGGGCTGTGACTCAGCAGCTTCTCTGCCTTGGCTGGAGTGCCCGTGCTGCAGTACTAACTCCCTCTCCAGGGAGCCTGGACTCCAGCTCCTCTCCCAAGGGGATGGCCGGCTCCTTTGTCCTGTTTCCAGTTGTGATCCTGGCTGGGGTGGCAGAGCAGAGGGTGGGCCGAGGGGCTTGGCCTGGCCAGGGCATCCCTCTGCCCCTTCACCACTGCTACCCATGGACTTCACAAGACTTAGCCAAGGATCAATGGAGCAATTCTCATTTTCCTTCTCTGGCATCTATGCTGAGATCAGCAAATTCTAGGCCACCTGATGGGAGCCTCCGAATCCAGGGGCTGCGGATTGAGCCTTTCCTGCAGCAATCTTGGGCTGGCCTGTTAGCCTCCCTGGGCTTGCTCGTCTGGGCTCCCAGGGCTTGGTGGGGTGGCCTGAGGGGTGACAAAGGCCTGGAATCCGAAAATTGACAGCTGAGGCAGCACCGCCAGCAGTTATAGCCATGTTGTTTGTGAGATGGAGCTAAGTTACCTCCCTTTGGGGTCTCAGTTTCTTTGTTTTTGAAACGAGGCTGTGGACTGTGTGGTCTGTAAGATCTTCAGCCCTCACAGGCTGGGCTTTATTAATATTTGCGTGTGATTTAAGGACATCCACGCCTGGGGTCTAGGTTCAGAGAGAAATAATCCGAGGCAGGTGTGAGGTGCCGCAGCTTACAGAGCCTTACTCGGGAGCCTTCACCTTTGATCATGGAAGCCGTCCTTAAGGCAGGCAGGGCAGGGATGCTTAACCCTCACTTATGGACAGACGTTCAAGCCCAGGGAGGCTAACAGGCCGGCCCAAGATTGCTGCAGGAAGGGCTCAATCCTCAGCCTTTGGATTCTGAGGCTCCCATCGGGTGGCCTAGGATTTGCTGATCTTAGCATAGATGCAAGAGAAGGAAAATGAGCATTCGTAGATGTAAGAGAAGGAAAATGAGCATTGCTGCAGCAGGAGAGATTGAAGTTAGACACTGGAAGGACCTTCCAACTGTCAGGAACCCAGGAGTTGTTGCTTCCCCAGGGTCAGTCGGGAACAGACTCTGCTTCTGTGTGTGCGGAATGGCAGCCTCGCTGCCAAGTAGAGGTGTGCATGGACTGACCAAGAAGGCTTATCAGGCCTTGGTACACAAGGAGCTCAAAGAAATGGGTAATTTATTTTCAGAATGAGCTGGAAAATTAATTCATTAAAACTTTATCCTCAGCCTCCCAGGACCAAATGTTGGACTGAAGCATTGGTGCAAAACATAAAGACATACATTTCTCCTGAGGTATTGATCTTCGTAGCCCGCTGACTTCGGGGAGAGGCATCTTGCTGCTCAACCTTTTCCCATCTCATTACTTTGGCTTCTGCAAATACAATGCTAGGAAAGATTAAATACTGTAAGCTGTATCCAGTCAGTCTCCATTATCTGCATTAATCGAGGCCAGTACTGAGTGGGGTAATCCACAGAAGTGCCTAGTCCCCAGATTATATTTAATTGGTTTGGGGTGGCAGCTGATGGTGAGTTGAGAGTGAGTGTGTGTGTGTGTCTGTATGTGTACACGTGCACACACACAATGCTTTTGGTGAGGGTGAGGATCGAACTTACCCATCTTTGATGGGATCCATTTTGAGGAGTCTCATGTGGGGGCACACCAAGGGAGCACAGAAGCTTGCCGGAAGGGACAGCAGGGCTTCCGGTCTCCTGATGCTTTGTAGGGAAGAGGAGAAGCAAGGTGAGGGGCGAGGTGGCCTCTGAGGGTGAGAGGGAACGGTCCTGGTGGCACGCTCCCTGCAGCATGCCTCCCCCTGGAGCAGGTCTGGCCATTCCTGGATGAGCTATACAAACCCACTCACTGGTTCTCTCTCTTGGTCAGGTGCAGTGACTCATGCCTGTAATCCCAGCACTCTGGGAGGCTACAGCAGGAAAATTGCGTGAGGCCGGGAGTTCAAGACAAGCCTGGGCAACATAGTGGTGCCCTGTCTCTATACAACATTTTAAAAACTAGCCGGGCATGGTGGTGCACATTTGTAGTCCTAGCTCCTTGGGAGGCTGAGGTGGGAGGATTGCATGGACCCAGGAGTTTGAAGGCTGCAGTGAGTTATGGTCACGCCCCTGCACTCCAGCTTGAGCAACAGAGTGAGACACTGTCTCTAAAAAATAAAATGAAATATACAAACCGCCTCACCTGTTTTCTCTTTCACAAGGCTGAGGGTCCAGCTCCAGGGTTCTGAAGTACCAGAGGGTGGAAGAGACAGGCAGATATTTGTGGGGTTCAACATTTTAAAGATACAGAAAGATTTTTCAGCTTCTCCGTTTCCAACTCCCCTCCCCAGAAGCGACTACAACTAATGTTAGCCTTCTGCACCTTTCCAGAACCGGCTGTGAACATAGCATATGCTCCTCCCCACCCTTCACGCAGGTGTCATGCTCACTCCTCTGCACACCAACTCTTTGACTATCTCTCTTGGAGATCATTCCCTATTCTCCCACACAGAGCAAAGCTCCAGGGCACCAGGGCTTTCTGTGATATTCCCACGTGGGCTGACCATGGGCAGAGTGAAGACCCTCAAAGCAGCACATGTAGAACTACTGAGAGTGTGAGTGTGAGAGTGTGCGAGGTCGTCTCACCCCCCTTTTCTCCTCCAGCCTCGCTCCCCTTCCCTCCTACTCAACTTGTCAATCAAGTCTCCCTCGAGTTTAGGTACAGGAATGCCACTGAGCTCTGAGCACATCTGGGCGTTTGGAGTTGAGGAAAGAGAGAGCCTCTAGACAGGTGTTGTTTCTGCTTGTTGTGGGAGGGCTCGTAATGAGGGCAGAGATGGCGGCACTTCCATCCGCCTGCACTCCCACCCCTAGGCTCTCTGTTCATGCATTCTTCTTGATACTCACCTAAGTCCTGCTTTCTGCATGACTTTTCTCTCCATATAACAGAGAGGAAAAAAATGATAGGACAAAGGATAAGTCAACCAGGTTGTCACCCGCTCCACAACTCCTCACCCACCCTAGGCCAAGTGTGGCTGATGTTCCTAGCAGAGTGAGCCAGAGGCAGTTAATAGGTGCTCTGAGACCCCAGCGTGTTCTTGGGTCTGTGCAGGGACTCAGACCACATATGCCTGAGCCTGGTTCCTCTTGGACCACTGCTCCCAGCCCTGGGGTCACTTGCAAAGGCCTGAGTGCTTGGGACTGACACTGTCACAGAGGCCAAATGGCCATCTTAGGCAGACAGACAAAAGGATAGCAGCCAGTGGACTGGGAGGAGAAGGGAATTCCTGCGTGGATTTGGTTTAGTGACCTCGATTCTGGTCTACCCCTGCTTCTCCAGCATCATTTCCCACTATTGGAGACTCCCCCTTCCTGAGCTTTCCCTGAGGACTGGGCCCCCCACCTTGCCCCTGAGCAGGAGACCTGGCCTCAGTCAAATTTAGACCCAGATCTTTATTCTGACCAACTGTGTGACCTTGGGCAGGTCACTTGCCTGTCTGGGCAGTGTTTGCCTTATCTTTGAATGATGCTAGTAATTGTGTCCTCCTGGGTGGGTTAGATGAGAACGTCTGTGTGCTCACTAAACAGAGTTATGGTGATGGAACCGGTTGTTGCCCCAGTGTCGTCCTGCCCACCCCGCCCTGATGCAGCCTTTCCCGGGTTTGGGGTGGAGAGCACCTTCCAGGTCCACAGAGCCTTCGAGGCTTATTTTACTTCCAGCAACTGGGCTTGGACTTTGACCTGTCTGGCAAGTGTTTCCAAATTACTTAGAACTTCGTGTTTTCAGTGTGGCGCCCAGATCACCTGCATCAGAGGAAACGGGAGCTTTTTACAATGCAGACCCCGGGGTATGCTCCAGCCCACTGAGTTATCTGAGTTAGGTTCTAGGGGACAGTGTGCAAGGGCAGGGGGTCTGCATTTTAACAAACTCCCCAAGGGGTTTTGATGTAGGCCAAGTCTGAGACAGCCTTCTTCAGTCCCTTCCCTTGTATATCTTCTCCCCTGATGGGGCCTCCCAGGCCCTCCCTCTTGAGACCTTACCCTGTGGCCCAGCAGGCTGGGAGTAGGCATCTCTCCCCATCCCCAGCCTCCATCTGACAGCTGCGGCCTTCACCTAATGGCCCCATTTCATGCTTTCCTGCTCGGGTGATTCTGACCAGACAGAGGAGTTCACTCTGTCCTGGGAGCCCTGGCACCTGGATCCATTTATCATCCTCAAGTCTTCCAGCCGGCTGCTCTCCCCGGGGACCGCAGCTCCCAGCCATGCGGGAGGTGGGGCAGCTGTGAGTCCCCCAGGATTTGGCTCTCCCTGACCCCGTTCTCACCTCCATTCCTCCCCAGCCACGGCAGCCCTGCCTCCTAGAGTGGGGGAAATAATCCTGGAGGCGGAGGGGGCTGCTGGGCTGTGGAAGGAAGCACTGGACTAGGGGTCCAGGGACTTGGATTCTTCCTCCACCAAATGCCTGTGCGATCTTGGATGACTGGCTTGATCTCTCTGGGCCTCCAGGAGTCTTGGGTGGGACGGGGAGTGTGAAAGGGGTTGGGCTGCTTTCCCTCTTTTTCCTTTTTTTTTTTTTTTAACTTCTCTGACTCTAGAAGGGACAGCAGAGCCAGGTGATAAGGGGCCACATCAGAGGGAGAATCTGCCGAGGGAATCTTGGTCTCTCAGCTACTGGAGCATCTCCCAGGGAAAATGGAAATGCAACCCAAGGGCAGCCTTGGAAAAATCAGTACATGCTGGGCAGCTTCTGGGCTGTGGGAAGGGCTCTCATTTAATCCCAGCCTCAGCTCAAGAGTTCAGTAATAAAAGCTGTATTCCAATAGTTAAGAAGTCTGATGCTCAGAGAGGTGAAAGAAAGAACCCAGGGTAAAATGGCTCATTAACGGGGTATGCCTGACTCTTTATGGTCCCAGGCTTGCTGCAAGAGGAGAGGAAGGGTGGGCAGTTCCCAGAGCCATGTGCAATGCCCCCACTTCTCTTGCCGGCTTTAGCGTCTCACTGTACACACACACGCTTGCACACGCGTGTGTATGCACGCTATTAGAACAAATGATTTCAGGCTGGGCGAGGCGGCTCATGCTTGTAATCCCAGCACTTTAGGAGGTGGAGGCAGGTGGATCACCTGAGGTCAGGAATTCAAGACCAGCCTGGCCAACATGGTGAAACCCCATCTCTGCTAAAACTATAAAAATTAGCTGGACATGGTGGCACACGCCTGTAATCCCAGCTACTTGGGAGGCTGAGGCACCTGGGAGGTAGAGGTTGCAGTGAGCCAAGACCATACTATTGCTCTCCAGCCTGGGTGATAGAGTTTTTGAGACTTTGTCTTAAAAAAAACAAACAAAACAACAACAACAACAACAAAGAGTTTGGCAGTGTTGCAGGGTACAAGACTGAGATATAAAAATCTGTTATATTTCTATAGCAATGAACAATCTGAGTGAAGTTAAGAAAATAATTCCATTTATAATGACATCAAAAAGAATAAGATACCTAGGAACAAAAGAAGTGCAAAATGTTTATGTTGAAAACTACAAAACAATCTTGAAAGAAATTAAGGTCTAAAAAAATGGAATAATAGTGTAAAAAACTCAAAATTGTTATGATCCCTGAGCTGATCTACAGATTCAACACAATGCCTCCAAAAATTCCAGCTCTTTTATAGCAATTAAGAAGCTGGTCCTGAAATTCATATGGATATGGAAGGAACCCAGAATAGCCAAAACAATCCTGATTAAAGAACGAGGCCTGGTGCAGTGGTTCACGCCTGTAGTCCCAGCTCTTTGGGAGGCCAAGGCAGGTGGATTGCTTAAGCCCAGGAGTTAGACCAGCCTGGGCAGCATAGGGAAACCCTGTCTCTACAAAAATATAAAAATTAGCCAGTTGTGGTGGCATGGGGCTGTAGTCCCAGCTACTCAGGAGGCTGAGGGGGGAGGATTGATTGAGCCTGGAGGTCAAGGTTGCAATGAGCCATGTTCACACACCCCCAAAAAAAAGCAAGTTGGAAGACCCATACTGCCTGATTTCAAAACTTACTACAAAGCTATGATAATCAACACAGTGTGGTCAACAGCAGGTCAAGTGCAGTACTGCCATGAGGTTAGACATACAGATAGAATTGAGAGTCCAAAAACAAACCCTCATATTTATGGTCAGTTAATATTTTTACAAGGGAACTAAGACAATTGGATGGGGGCAAGAACAGTCTTTTCAATAAATGTTACTATATCAAATGGATATCCCCATACAAATGAATGAATTTGAACCCCTTCCTTACACCATACCCAGATTGTAGACCTGAAATTAACTCAAAAGTGAATTGTAGCAACACAGTAGAACCTCATTTCTAGAAGAAAATTTAAAATCAGCCAGATGTAATGACATATGGCTGTAGTTCTAGCTACTTTGGAAGCTGAAGCTGGAGGATTGCTTGAGCTCAGGAGGCCAAGGCTGCAGTGAGCCTGGGTGACAGAGTGAGACCCTGTCTCAAAAAATAAGTGGATTGTAGCCTTGAATGCGTGAGCTAAAACTATACAACTCCCATAAGAAAACATAGGAGCAAATCTTGGTGCCCTTGGGTTTATTGATGGTTTCTTGGATATAGCACCAAAAATATGGCAACAAAAGAAATAGTTAAATTGGACGTCATCAAAATTGAAAGCTTTTGCTTCAGAGGACACCATTAAAAAATAAAAATACGACCATGTGCAATGGCTCATGCCTGTAATTCCAGCACTTTGGCAGGCTGAGGAGGGCAGATCAGCTGAGGTCAGGAGTTTGAGACTAGCCTAGCCAGCATGGTGAAACTCTGCACTAAAAATACAAAAGTTAGTGGGGTGTGGTGGTGAGCACCTGTAATCCCAGCTACTTGGGAGGCTGAGGCAGGAGAATCGCTTCAACCCAGGAGGCGGAGGTTGCAGTGAGCCATGATTGCCCCCCTGCACTCCAGCCTGGATGATGAGCAAAACTCCATCTCAAACACACACACATGAAAATATGACCTAGAATGGGAAAAAATATTTGCAAATCATATATTCAATAAGGAACTGGTGTCCAGAATATATAAAAATTCTTACAACTCAGTAATAAAAAGACGAATATCTTAAAATAGCCAAAGGATTTCAATAGGTATTTTTCTATGGAAGACACTCAAATGACACTCTACATGACCACATGTAGAGATGTGCAGCAGCGTTAGTCATCAGGGAAATGCAAATCAGAACTACAGTGAAATGCCATTTCACCTCTACTACGATTCCTGTGAACAAGAAGACATAATATCAAGTGTTGTCTGGGATGTGGAGAAATTAAAACCCTCATACGTTGCTGATGGGAACATAAATTGGTGCCGGCACCTTAAAATGTGAAACATAGTTATGACCCAGCAATCCCATACTTAAATATCTACCCGAGAGAAACATATCCACACATGCCCACACAAAAACTTACACGTGGATGTTTATAGCAGCAGCATTCATAATATCTCACAAGTAGGACATATTAGCTACATTTAGTTATAAAATAGCTAAAATGGTCCAAATGTTCATAAATTGATGAAGGGATAAATATATGTTTTAGGCAAGGTGCAGTAGCTCATACCTGTATTGCCAACATTTCAGGAGGCTGAAGTGGGAGGATTGCTTGAGGCCAGGAACTTAAGACCAGCTTGGGCAATATAGGGAGACCCCATATCTACAAAAAAATTAAAAAATTAGCCTGGCATGATGGCATGCAACTGTAGTCCCAGCTACTCAGGAAGCTGAGGTGGGGAATCACTTGGGCCCTGGAGGTGGAGGCTGTGGTAAGCCATGGTTGCACCACTGCACACCAGTCTCACTCTGCCTTAAAAAAAAAAAAAGTGTTCTACCTACATAGTGGAATATTACATGGCAATAAAAAGGGAATGAGATACTGATACATGCTACAACATGGATGAACCTCAAAAACATCATGAAAGAAGCCAGTCACAAAGACAACATATTTCATAATTCCAATGATATGAAATGTTCAGGATGGACAAATCTATAGAGACAGAAAGTAGATTATTGGCTGCTGGAGCTGGGAAGAGGATGAGAATAGAAGTGACTGCTAATGGGACCTGGTTTCTTTTTGAGGTGGTGAAAATGTTCTAAATGAGACTGCTAATTGTTGTACAAACTCTGTGAGTACAATAAAAAGCACTGAACTGTACAGTTTAATGGATGACTTAAAAGGTATATGAATTACATCTCAATGAAGCTGCTTTTAAAAAAGTCACAGAGTCCTAGACACTTTGGTGGAAGTGAGGGGAGATGGACCTGGCGAAGGCCTGGACACTTCTCTTGATCTCCTGGTGTGGCTCCTTGTAGTTCTCACCAAACTCGATCCATCTCTCTGCCCCCAGAGGGGAAGTCCAGTGGACCTTGTTTTTTCATTTCAAAATAAGTTTTGGGGTCAACACTATTTCAACATGTCATGTAGTAAGAGTTTAATAAATGCTTGGTGAATGAACATGCATTGCATCAATGTACAGGTCACCAGAAGTACTTAAGGTTAGAGCAGTCTTCAGGGCTGGGGAGGTGATCTCAGCAGGTTTTTAAAGGAAGGGACAGAACTGAGCTCCTAAAACATTCCTTCAGAAGAAGACTGAGTCCAGAGGAGAGATGACTCATCCCTAACATACAGTGAGAAAGTCTCACGTTTTTCTTTAAATTCTTGTGCTATATGCATCCTACTCTATATTTTCAGCTTGTTTTAATTTAAAAATACTGTAAACTGCCATTCAGTAAAATGGATGCTTCAGGGAGTTGTGCTGTGTATCCCTGCATCCTAGAATGTCTGTGGGTGTACCCTGCTATGCTCCCTCAGAGGAGCTCAGTCAACAAATACCTCCTGAGTGCCCACTGTGTGCTTGGCATGAGGGCTGCTGTTGCCAACACAGGATCTGCCCTCATGGGACTTCAGTTGAGAAATGAGTGCATAGCCCCAAGGAGCAGAAAGAGCTTGGCGGAGAGGACAGTTGCAGTGGGCAGAGTTTGGAAGCTCGTAAGAACGTTACCTTAAATGAAGAACAACATGTATGCCATGTTTAACTAGCAAAAAGTTGACAACTGCCTAAATGTCTAATAGTGAAATGGCTAAACAAATTTTGGTATTACCATGTAGTAACTATTTAATAATAAAGAAAAAATTTAACAAAGGAAAAGGCTTATGATGAAATTTTATGTAAAATAATCTTCAAAAAAAAACCTATATATAGTGTGGTCTCAGCATGTAAAACATACTCAGAAAAATACCAGCATAGACTGCCCAAAAGGCTAGTTGTCTCTGGATGATAGAATTGAGAGGGATTTCTCTCTCTCCCCCACCAAACTTTCGACAATAAGTCTGGGTCGTGTTATTAATAAACATGGCGTCTTTGATGCAGGAAGGCTAGTGTGCAGGTGCATGTGGGGCGGGGCTAGAGATGGACCTGGGGCAGGGGTTATGGAGTAGACCAGGGGAGGAAGGCTAGGGATGGAGATGCTGGTGCTGTCTTCCCAGAGGAGAGGTTAAAACAAACCCCGAGTGAGCACTGAGGGAGCCAGTGAAGAAAGCGCTGAGGGCTGAGGAAGAGAGTCTTGAAGGGCAGGAGGAGGACTTGGAGTCAGGGATCATGAGAGTTCAAGTGTCATGGGGATAGGCAGAGAATCTAGACAGAGCAATGTCTGAAAATCCTTGGAAGTCAAGGAGAGAGGTTGAAAGAGGAGCTCTCAGTGTAAAACCTTGTCTCCTTCCTAGATTTAAATGAGAGATACAGGAGAGCGATTAGGTATGCAGGCTCTGGAGTTGGGCAGACCAGTTCAAACCTGTTTCAGAACTTACAGCTAAGTGACCTTGGAAAAACTGTCTAGCCTCTCTGAACCTGTTTCCCCATCTGTTAAATGGAAACAACAAAGACCATTAGGTTGTTGTTTGGATTAGGTGAACAATGCATGGAAAGTGCTTTGCATAGTGCCTGACACATAATGTACTATTTTTTTTAAGAGACACAATCTTACTTACTTACCCATAGCTCATGTAACTGACCTCAAAATCTTGGACTCAAGTGATTCCTCTGTCACTTCAGCCTCCACCATGCCTAATTAAAAAAAAAAAAGTTTAAATGTTCTTGCTATGCCGCCCAGGCTGACTGTGTACTAACTGGATGATGTCTATTATTATTGTTTTACTACAGTTGTTCCTATTGTGCAGAACATCTTCGATCTATAAAGAGTTTCTCCTGGTCCTTTGAATAGGGCTTTCTGAGGGGAAGATGACCTCTGGGATGTTCATCCTGCCCTCTTCTCCTCTCATTCCCCAGCTGTCCCCTCTGCCACCATGAGGAACATTTTCAAGAGGAACCAGGAACCCATTGTGGCTCCTGCCACCACCACCGCCACGATGCCTATCGGACCCGTGGAAAACTCCAACTCCACTGAGAGTGGGGGTGCTGGGGAGAGCCAGGAGGACATGTTTGCCAAACTGAAGGAGAAGTTTTTCAATGAGATCAACAAGATTCCCTGTGAGTGTCCCTGGTGGCTGAGAAGGTGGGACAAGGCTAGAGACTGAGAGGGGTGAGAAAGGGTGGGGACACCACTGGGATGTGATTTGCTGTGCTCTTTCCTAATGCTTAGATTTCAGGCTGGATTTTTGGAAAGCCCCTGTAGGAATGTGGGAGGGGGAAGTAGGGTCTGCCATTAATGTAGCAAACAAAGGGGTTTATGTGCTTCAACTTCTCAGGGGAAGAAAAGTTCTTATAATTTAAAAAACTGTCCAAAGATGAAACCAAAAGGAGATGAAAAATTATGAAACAGAAGCCACTGTTCAAGTTGGCCAATAACATTTTGAAATTTATTTTGGAAGACAAAAAAATAAAAGCCCCTCCTCCTTTTGAATTCCTGGTAGAGGCTATATAGGAGACACCAGAGATGCAGTTTAATGGGGAGCAGCCACGCTGGTGGGAGATGGTGCTTCAGAACCATGGAGAGCAGCCCAGAGTCCATCCCCAAACAGTTGGGTTTCGCAAAGCCCAGCAGTGGTCTAGGTCCAGACTCAATCTTAAGGAGCTTGGCCTTTTCGGGCTATGCATCAGCCCTCTCAAGACTTGGCACAAGGGATGGAGGCCAAGGGACCGATAAGCATCATCCCATCCTCTCCAGTATGAGCCGCTCCTCTGTAGATTACACTAGTCAAACTCAGTAGAGCTAAACTGATATTCTTTCATGCATACAGCTGGTTGCTACCTCTCAGCCAGCAGGCTATACCAACAAGGGCAGTAAGAAAAATAAAGGCATTAGTGAAAAGGCATGCAAAGTGTATGCAACTTACATGCAAATCACTCATGGGTGGTGGCTTTTAAAATGTGGGGTGTGGGCATTGTGGGAGGGCAGTCATATTCCTGACCCATTTTTGCCAATCCTACGGGGTCCGGGGCTGCAAGGCATGGAGCTGCTGACCCCGGGTTTTCTCTATGTGGGCAGTACCACCCTGGGCCCTCATCGCCATTGCTGTGGTTGCTGGGCTCCTGCTCCTTACCTGCTGCTTCTGCATCTGCAAGAAGTGCTGCTGCAAGAAGAAGAAGAACAAGAAGGAGAAGGGCAAAGGCATGAAGAATGCCATGAACATGAAGGACATGAAAGGGGGTCAGGTAGGGCACCCTGGATGTGAGGGGGACTGGAAGGGGCTTAGCCCAGGCTTTCCTGATACTGAAAGGGGAAGCAGAGGCTCCTGGTCTTCCGCAGCCAAACCAGCTCCTCTCCTTAAAACTCGGTTCTCTCAGTCCAGGCGTGGTGGCTCATGCCCATAATCCCAGCACTTTGGGAGGCTGAGGCAGGCAGATCACCTGAGGTCAGGAGTCTGAGACCAGCCCGGCTAGCATGGAGAAACCTCATCTGTACTAAAATACAAAATTAGCCAGGCGTGGTGGCACGCGCCTGTAATCCCAGCTACTGGGGAAGCTGAGGCAGGAGAATTGCTTGAACCCAGGAGGCAGAGGTTGCAGTGAGCCAAGATCTTGTCATTGCACTCTAGCCTGGGCTACAAGAGCAAAACTCCTTAAAAAAAAAAAAAAAAAAAGAAGAAAGAAAAAAACTCAGCTCTCTTGATTATATCTCTAGTATAACACCATTTACCTGGAGGCCCCTGAGAAGTGGGAACCTTATTCCTGTGTTAGCATGAACTCAAAAGACAGTGAAGGAGAACAATATATTGACCCCCTAATGAGGCTACTGGGACAAAATGTTGGAAAGAGACAACCCCCACCAGCAAGACACCATCGGGTCACCCTGTGTTTTCCTGCCAGAGAGGCTAAAGGATGCTATCTCATGGGAGGCATCTAACTGGGAGTGGGGCAGGAATCAAATGAGGCAGAAGAGTGGCCCCGAGGCACCAAGACAGAGCCAAGAGGAATACATCATTAATCATATGATGATTTCATTTATTTTCCCCAGTCTTTTGATGTTGGTCAGCCTAGAAACCTCCTCTTCTTCTTTTAAGTTTGCAGAGGCCACTGTGTGCTTCCCTTTTCCCCATATTTGTTTTGGTGGTGACTAGGAGGAATCTTTCTCAAGGAATCCATACGGAGGATAGAGGGAAGGGCCTGATCTCAAGAAGCCAGGGATCTAAGTGGCCTTTGAGAGTGTGTGTGTGTGTGTGTGTGTGTGTGTGTGTGTGTTTCCCCAAAAGGAACCTGCAGTGTGTGCTTGTGTGTGTTGGGACGGGTTCCAGCCTGACTTGGGTGTAGCCCAGTCTGGTCTCGCTGAGTGGCTGTGGTGGCTTCAGGGGCTGGTTTGAGCTGCAGGATTTTCTCTTATATTGCTTTCTTCTTTCTCTCTCTACCTCTGTGGGCTCCCTCTGCTCCTGTCTGCCTGGACCGTACTTCTGGTATGTCTTGCCCAGGATGCGTGGGGCCTGAGCTGGGGAAAGTGTTGGGGAGAGGGCTTACAAGGCAAGCAAATCCCACTCCCACCCCTGCCTCCAGAAGCTGTGGAGCACTTGGCACAGGGCCTGGTCCCTTAGCGCACTGTGCCTCACAGGGAGGAGAGCAGTGCCCAAACCAGAGCCATGTCTCGAACACAGGGCTGGGGTAGCAGGGCTGCTGATGGGCGTGAAGGAGGGTTCCACAGCGGGGCCACATTCCCTCTTTTACCCCCACCACACACAGCCCTGAGTCAAGGGTTGGCACAGAGGGGCTGGCTTCCCATCACCCTGTGCCAAGCCAGGCCACTCTATTCTCCCCTTTAACTTGTTCTCTCTCTCCCCCAGCGCCCACAGGATGACGATGATGCAGAGACAGGCCTGACTGAGGGGGAAGGTGAAGGGGAGGAGGAGAAAGAGCCAGAGAACCTGGGCAAACTGCAGTTTTCCCTGGACTATGATTTTCAAGCTAATCAGGTATGCAGGGCTGTTTGGGCAGAGTGAGGAACCGGGAAGCTTGGGAGTTGGGTGGAAGGGGGTTAGAAGCAGCTCCCTCCAAGGTGTGTGGGGACTGCTCCTTTCCATAGAGTGAGGCAGGCTGGAAACTGCAGGGCCTATAGCTCCCTCTGGACATTGATGCTGGGGTGGCCACCAGCCTGCTTTGGGCAAGGTTCCAGGTTGATTATGCTGTTAGCCTGCCCACCAACCTTGGGCAAAGCAATTTCTCTTTCAACTTCTGGTTCCCTAAATGCCAGTCTAAATTCCTTGGGATGGAAATGGAGACCAATCTTCCCCTCTAGCACAGCCTCCCCTGATCCCCCTGCCCCAACTGCCCTCTCTGGGAAGGAATTGGTGGGAGCTGGGTCTGGGGCCAGTCGTGTTGGAGCAGTCCTGAGACTCAGGCCCCCTTCTCCCCATCTCTCTCCACAGCTTACTGTGGGCGTTCTGCAGGCTGCGGAACTGCCTGCCCTGGACATGGGAGGCACCTCAGACCCTTATGTCAAGGTCTTCCTCCTTCCAGACAAGAAGAAGAAATATGAGACCAAAGTCCATCGGAAGACATTGAACCCTGCCTTCAATGAAACCTTCACCTTCAAGGTAATGAGGGCTGGAAGGGTGACTCCACCTCCCTTCCTGACCCCAATTCTCTGCTGAGTTCTACAGACCTTTCCTTGGTCCTTAGCCAGGGCTCAGCCTGGAACAATGGCAGCCTGGACTGCAAAACTTCCCCAACCTCTTTGGAGAATCAGGATCCGTCCCAACCCCCCCCCCCATTCTGCTCCCCAAAAGCCCCGGGTCTTTCTCTGCCTCCACACACTAACTGGGACCCTGTGGGCTAGAATAGAGGCCACTTCCCAGGGACCTGCCCACAGCACCCTTGGAGGTGCATGAGTTGCTCTGCCCTCCTCTGATTCTGCTTGTGCCTTGCAGGTGCCATACCAGGAGCTTGGGGGCAAAACTCTGGTGATGGCCATCTACGACTTTGACCGCTTCTCCAAACATGACATCATTGGAGAGGTAAAGGTGCCTATGAACACGGTGGACCTCGGCCAGCCCATCGAGGAGTGGAGAGACCTGCAAGGTGGGGAGAAGGAGGAGGTAAGAGCAGAGATGAGGCCAGATCCGGCGGAAGGATGAATGTAGAGGTGGGCTTTTTCCTCTTGGCATGTTGGAAATAGGGTGGGCTTTGGAGGTAGGCGACCTGTGTCAGGACCCCAACTCCACCCTGCCTGGCTGTGTGACCCTGTGCAAGCTGCTTATACTTTGGACGCAGGTTCCCTCCTTTAGTCTTTTCTTACAGATAAGGATTCACTACTTATGTAAAGAGTCTAGCATAGCGACTAGTATTTTGGTAGGTACTCAGATAAATAAAAATACCATTATTGTTACTCCTAAGCTTCTGCTATTACCTAAGGCCAGTGATTCATGCCTCTGTGCCTCAGTTTACCCATAAGGAGAGCTTGTGTTTGTTCTAAAGGATACTCAGCAGGGGGACTTGTCCTCCCAGAACTGCTACACTGCTACAGCATCCATCCATGGACTCAGTAAATATTTGCTAAGCAATTGCTGTGTACCTAAAACTCCATTTGAGCCATTCCTCCTTCCAGGCATCAATCATTTGTCCTGGCCAAGGCCCTGCTACTGAGCACACTGTAGGCAGTGATGGAAGGCTGAGTAGAGAAGCTTAAGACATCCTTTTGTCCCCTGTGCCTTGGAGGAAGGTCAGCACACCTGAAGCAGGACCTGTGTGATGTGGTCAGTTTTGGGCTGGCTGGCTTTGACTCTGAGCAGTTTTGACTCTGCAGTGTGGTGCTGGCCGTAGGAATTAGGAGGCCCGGGTCCTCAGCCTGCCCGCAGTTGGTGCTGGCCTTAGGAATTAGGAGGCCCGGGTCCTCAGCC